GTTAAATGAAAGCAAAAAAAAAAAAAAAACTGAAAATTCCATAGAGTCGCGTAAAAAAAAAAAAAAATGATTAATAAACGCCAGAGGCGGTTACTAATACGAACTAAATAATTTACTTTTAAAAAAAAAAATGGAAAAACCTGATAAAATAAAGAATAAGAAAAAAATTTAAAATTTGAAATTTGAAAACCATAAAAAAACAAAAAAAAAAAAAAAAAAAATAAACCAATAATAAATTTAAAGCTCCAAATATGTAGGAAAAAAAAAAAAAAACAGGTTTTCCTTCAAAGTTTTTTACTTACTTACTTTTCCTATGTCATCATCACGTTATTTATACTTATTTGGTCATTCTATAGACTAGTGCACAACATTTTTTATTCGCGTTTAAAAAAAAAAAAATGATAAAACTCAATAATCTCACGATTATGTTCAACGTTTTCATTTTTCCATTTTCCATTTTCCACCCCCCCAAATCTTTTAATAACACAACTCAATATTAGGTGTAAAATTAAAATGATTAAGAGTTAAACTTACCAAGACGTCCAAAACTATAACTAAGTCTCTTTTTTAATTTTTGAACTCGACTAAGCCCTCTTTTTTCTCTCATTACTACACCTGAAACAAAAACAAACAGGTACTAAAAAAACTTTTTTATAAAAAAAAAAAAAAAAAAAAAAATTGGAAGAAAATTTTTAACTTTTGTGTGTGTGTGTGTGTGATTTATTAGTTTTTCACTTCGAAATTTTTTATTTATTTATTTTCGGGTTGGTCTTAAAAAGTTATATATTTTTAAAGTTTTATTTCTCTCTTTATTGATTGATTTTTTTTTTTTTTTTTTTCAAAAATGATTCAAAACCTGTTTAACTAACGTTTAACTAAAACGTCATCAGGTGATTTGATATTAGTTTTTTTTTTTTTTTTTTAATGGCAAACATAAAGCTTTTTACATCTTTTTTCCGCATTTTATGCTATTACAACTTTTTTTTTTCTTTTCCTAATCGTTCCAAATCCTTTACTTACCATTTCAATAATCTCAATTATTATTATCTTTAAGACTTTTTACTACACGGTTGCCTCATGTTTTTCTTTCTTCTCCTTATATTGTTATTAATATTACTAACTGTTTTTTTTTTTTTTTTGAACTTTGGCAGCCATTGTAAATAATTAATAAATAAAAAGTTATTATTTACTGTTTACTTTAATGAGTAAAATACGTTTCTGGCATATTTATTTATACATTACGTTATGTTTTTTTTTTTTTCTCTCTCTCTCTCCTTTTTTTTCCTCCTTTGTCTACGATCTGTAATAATTTTTTCAAAACATTTTTTTTTTGTTTTTTTGTTACTCAATATAAATTTTTTATTTGTCCAAAAAGGTTTCTTCTTCACTTTTATTTCTTTATACGCGTTTTGTGTAAATTACACTTGTGAACTTTTATTCCTATTTTTTTCTCTCTCACTCTCTCTCTCTCTCTACTCGAAACCGTAGCATTGATTTTCGTTTTTTTTTCAAATACACACACACGTACACAATGTAACAAATATTTAATCTTGTTATACAATTAGAATATTATACATATTTTTCCTTTTTTGTAATAATGTTTTGATAACAAAATTATACATTTTAATCCATAATAAAAATTTATTAGGATAATTCTCTCTTAAAACTATTTTAAACAACATAAATAATTTTACTGTTTATCGTAATTGAAACAATCGTAAAACAAAACAAAACAAAAAAAAAAACTAAAACATATTAGCCTCATTATAAACCCATAACACAACATTCATTTCACAATCTGCAAATTATTTCATTTATTTAACAACCGTAAAACTCTCGCCTAAAAAAAAAAAAAATAAACTACAATCGCCTTCTTCTTTTTTTTTCTCGAAGCTTTGTAATAACCAACGAATTATTATATTATTGTCACGCTTTTCCTATAAAATTTTATTATAACTATTTTATATATAGAGATTTTTTTGGCACGAGTATTTTTATTAATAAATTACCCCTTGGCCTAAAAATATATATGAAGAAACTTCCCTCAACATTT